AATTATTTGGCAGCAACAGGAGCTGAAAGTGCTGCACTGACCTCAATGGGTCTTTTTGTACGGTTGCTAGGTGAAATATTCATCCTTTGGACAGGGTTTTCTATGCAGTTGCTTATTCGAGAGTTGTTTCAACCTTTGCTCTTGTCATTTTTTTGATGGTTTTGTTATTCTATCGATGTGCAGGTTTTAGCATATTCATGCAAGCTTGTAATTCTAACAACTGTACAGAGGTCAGTGTGAAAGTCTGAGTCTTCCTGCACTTCGTTCTTCATTCAAGCCTTTTAGGAGGGATTCACATGGACATGTTGCAGCCATGCTGGTTCACGGAAAATATACTGACAGCTGCGAGAATATTCAAAAGATCAGGCACACATTTAAGTGGCCTGGTGCCAATAGGGCCCTATGACAAGGTTGACTTTTCTGAAGTTTTTACTAGAGACAGCATCACAGGAAATAAAACATATATAACTCCCCTGTAAAGCATGCCCAGCTACACGGAATAGGAAACATGACTGCTGAGGCCGTGTGCTCATTCATTTGAGTCCTGTCCTTCTGATTTTCAGAGTGACTGAACTTGAACAGAGGGGGCTTTCCTGGCTGAGTATTATCTTTTACTCCAACCACCTTTCCTCCGCTCTGAAGGGCCACATCTCATTCAGAGCTTATTGTTTCAAACCTTGTATTTCCATACCTACCTACACTTTGCCATTTTGGAATGAATAGGTACATTCCCACTGACAAATACGATTACACACAGCGCTCATCTGGATAGTTGACTGTGGAGAATGTTAAGTGGGTGTCACCCATCTTTTTGCATTTCCATGTGCTCTCAGGCTATCTTGGCAGCACAGACCTGAATTCTAAACTCATGATGATGTTTTTATGTTAAAATTGCAAATCACACCACAGAAATTCTTTATGTTTACAGATCTGATTACAAAGAACCGTTGGACTGGAGTTAAGAATCACAAGATGACAGGAAGTCTCTGCAGAATTGTGGCAAATCAGTTCAAAAGTTGAATCACACTTTGAATAAATCCTCATAACTTCCCTTGTTTTGTCCCATTAAGAGCTGAAAGCAGACTGAATCGAGGCAAGTCAAGCAAATGACAGTTGTAGCTTTTTGGGTGTGAAGTGTGATGGCTGTGTGATTACCGGCTTCAGACATCCATTAGTTAGCCTCCAATAGAGCAGG